AAAACAGCCGGGCGATGGTGGCGCACGCCTTTAATCCCAGCACTTGGGAGGCAGAGGCAGGCGGATCTCTGTGAGTTCGAGACCAGCCTGGTCTACAGAGTTAGTGCCAGGACAGGCTCCAAAGCCACAAAGAAACCCTGTCTCGAAAAACCAAAAAAAAAAAAAAAAAAAAAACAACCATCTCGGGGCTGGAGAGATGGTTCAGGGGTTGATAGCACTGACTGTTCTTCCAGAGGACCCGGGTTCAATTCCCAGCTCACACCTGTCTGTAACTTCAGTTCCAGGGCTTCTGATATCCTCGCACAGATACACATGCAGTCAAAACACCAATGATCATAAAATTAAAAAAAAAAAAAAAAACACATCTTTTTCCTTTTCTTTCTCTTTAAAAGAAAAAAACAACACCTGGGATGGCCTTGTATGTGTTTATCTCATGTTCACTATGTAGCGAAGGACGACATTGAACACACCTGATCCAACTGCCTCCACCTCCGAAGGATTTAGATCATGGGTATAGACCATCATATCAGGTTTTCTGTGATGCTGGGGATTGAACCTAGGACTTCCATGCATGCTAGACAAGTGCTCTGTCGGGTTATAGCTCCGGCACTAAGAATTCCTTCTTGCCGGGCGGTGGTGTTGCAGGCACGTTTCCTGTAAAGAAATGTCTGTAGAGAAAGACGTCCAGATGAAGAAATCTGAACTGAGTGTGATGGCTCATGCTTGCAATCCCAGCACTCGGGAATGGAGGTTGAGAGTCATGCTGCAAGTTTGAGGGTAGCCTTGGTTACAGAGTGAGATCTGTCTTAAGCGTGCCAGCCAGGTGATGATGGTGGCACACACAGGTAGCAGGCAGATCTCTGTGACTTCAATGCCAGCCTGGTCTACAGAGTGAGTACCAAATCAGCCAAGATGACACAGAAAAACAAAAAGTAACCAAAAAACAAAAAACAAAACATACTGTATGTAGTATTTGGGGTAGGCCATGTAGCCAATCCTTAGTGCCAGGTAGTATGTTGAAAAGTAAAGACCTGTGTAGTCTTCTGTGGGGTTCTCTCATGGAGGGTTAAGTATATTTGACATTTGTGAATCTACTATGCTGCAGGCTCACGGGATGGTTCCATGGGACTCTGGGAGGTGACAGATGATGTATTGACCAAAAGCGATGCAAGACATAACGTGTCACCAGTCCCTGTGTATGCTCACATCACTCACAAGGCCTTAAAAGATATCCCCAAGGAGGATACAAACCCGGACAACTGCAAGGTGCGGGCTTTAGCCTTCAACAACAAGAACAAGGTATGAACAACCAAGGGACCTAGAAGCCTGTCTCTCCTGACTTTATCTAGGGGATCCTTTCTCCTCCATGGTAGGGCACCGTGGCCTTTTAGAGTCTAGGAGGCTGGGGAGGAGTGATGGGCTGTCAGGCTCTGTTTCTGTTGGCTTTGTCTGGGTAGACCACGTTTGTGGTCCACTCTAATCTGACACTGCCTCATTTGCATGTCCCTTTTCGAAGGCTCTATTTTGGATTTGATTTTCATACTTACTGTAAAAGCCATCCTTGTTTTTAAGCTCCTCGTCTTTCATTAATCCTTTTTCTCACACTTGCTACTGAGTTTCACCTAAAGCACTGTGCCGCATCTTCTGATGGTGAGGTCGTGAGCCGAATCTAAGTCTAGAACCAGAGCCCAGAAAGGAGACTGGCTTCTGCAAAACCTGGGAAAGGCCCCAATTCATTTTTTTTTATTTTATTTATGTGTAAGGGTGTTTTGCCTGCACATGTGTGTGGGTATGTGTGGTTTACTAGAAGTAGATTCTCTGTACCTACAGCTCAGTTGGGACTGAGAAAACAGCCTTTCCCTTGCGAGCTCTGCTCTAGCAGTCTTAGGATGTCAGGGCACTCATGACCCGCAGAGGTTGTTAGAGACTATGCTTGCTTTGTGGAATTGAATATACTACCTGGCTGCCTTTTGTGGAGTGAGGCTAATGCACCGTGGGATAGGAGTGGAGGACAGGAGAACCCCAGCCCTCAGGCTCACCCCCTGCACATCCTGCTACTTCGTTTTGCTGCAGATCGTATTATAACTTCTTTTTCATTGCTTTTGTAGGAGTTGGGAGCAGTATCACTGGATGGCTACTTTCATCTCTGGAAGGCTGAAAATACATTGTCTAAGGTGTGAACATGACTCAGTAGTTTGGTGGGGTTTTTTTGGCGGGGGGGGGGGGGGGGGGGGGATGGGGGGTACTTTCGAGACATTGTTTGTCTGTGTAATAGTCCTGGTTGTCTTGGAACTGACTTTGTAACCCAGAATGGCCTTGAACTCACAGAGATTCGCTTGCCTCTGCCTCCGAGTGCTGGGATTAAAGGCGCACAATGCCACCGCCTGGCATGACTTGGTAGGTTTATGTGATAATTTATCATAGGTTTAGAATATTGTAATTGTTTCAGAGTCATAGTGGATTTGTCCAAAACACCTTTTCTCCCAAGGTCTGGGAATAGAACTGCATAGGGCATGAAGTTGTGAGTCTGGCATGCATTTTTTGAAGAAAAGTCTGTATATATTTTAAATTTATTTTTGAGACATCTCTTTATGTAGTCCAGTCTTGTCTTAAATTTGTGATCTTTCCACTTTTAAAATATCTCCCAAAGACTGGAAATACTGACAACCACCATGCTTAAGCAAGAAAAGGCCTTTGTTGTGTTTTAAGACAGGCTTTCTCTATGTAGCTCCGGCTATCCTGTAACTTGTAACCAGGCTGGCCTAAACTCAGCTTCCCAAGTACTGGGATTAAAGGCATATGACACTACCACTCAGCATTCATTTTTTTTTTCTTTCTTCATAGATTAGCTATGGGCTGGAGAGATGACTCAGAGGTTAAGAGTACTGGCTGCTCTTCCAGATGTTCTGAGATCAATTCCCAACACCCACATGGTGGCTCACAACCATCTGTAATAAGATCTAGTTCCCTCTTCTGGCCTGCAGACATATATGCAGACAGAACACTATGTACACAATAAAAAAAAAAGTCTGTCTCCAACTTGAGATCCTTTCTCAATCTTCCAGTGCCAGAATCACAGGAAAGTCTTTTAAAGAGACTGAGATTGCAACAACACAGTTAAGGAGAAAACAGGTTTATTAATAATGTCAGGCGATGGTGGCGCACGCCTTTAATCCCAGCCCTCGGGAGGCAGAGGCAGGTGGATCTCTGGGAGTTCGAGACCAGCCTGGTCTACAGAGCTAGTTCCAGGACAGGCTCCAAAGCCACAGAGAAACCCTGTCTCGAAAATAATAATAATAATAATAATACCTGCTAACAACTTTTTTATACAATAAAGTGTATGTGTGGTTCATTAGTCCATGCCTTGCCTGTACTGCTTATAATATCTGTAACCAACTTTTTCTAAAGAGAAAGCAAAGCTCTGGGAATTGGCAGCTCCCTGTGTCACTGCAGCTTTGCATTCACTGGCCCTGCATAGTGATTTCCATGCATCAGGCTAATCCACGGGGTCAAATAGGAAGGTTGACTCAGGTTACCTGGGATGGAGTCAGTCCTATGGGCATGCTTCCTCTGGTGTACAGCTCCCATTTCTTTGGGAAATTGGCTGAGGGTCGTCTGTTGACAGAGGTTTCTGTCCCACCAAGGTCCCGCCGTCATTAAGTCCCAAAGAAGTACGCAGAGACCTACATTAATCATAAACTGGTTGGCCCAGTAACTCTCTTATAAGTTATATTAGCTCATAATTCTCATTGCCACGCTTCTACTTCCTGCCTGGTTGCCATCGCCCCACCTATACTTCCTGTATGGCTACTGGCCAACAGCATTTTATTAAAAATAATACAAGTGAGCTGGAGAGATGGCTCAGTGGTTAAGAGCATTGCCTGCTCTTCCAAAGGTCCCAAGTTCAATTCCCAGCTCACAACCATCTGTAATGGGTTCTGGTGCCCTCTTCTGGCCTGCAGGCATACACACAGACAGAATATTGTATACATAATAAATAAATAAGTATTAAAAAAAGAAAAAATATAGGAGGAAAATTTAAAAAAATAAAATAAAAATAATACAAGTGACAGGATAAAAGGCCATTGTCCCGCAGCACTTGAAATGAGTCCCTTTATCTGAAGAGCAACAAGGAGAATGGGGGCTCATCTTGCAGAGAGATCAGGGTGAGGCTTAGCTTTAGTGCACTGGGCTCATTCCTGGAAATAAACTATAGTTCTTGGCTTTTCCTGGCATTCTCATTATTTAATTCCAGCTTTACCTTTTCCCTAACCCAGAAGTTACTCATTTACTTTGTCTTGTTCCTGGCTTAGGTAGATAATTTGTGTGTACAGGAAGCCCACAGAGGCTGGGCACAAGAATGTCCATTTTATGCTAGTTATGGCTGTATTTCTTTTCAGCTCCTTTCCACCAAATTGCCATATTGTCGAGAGAATGTGTGTCTGGCCTATGGTAGCGAGTGGTCAGTGTATGCAGTGGGCTCTCAGGCGCATGTCTCCTTCTTGGATCCACGACAGCCGTCGCACAACGTCAAGTCTGTCTGCTCCAGGGAGCGAGGCAGTGGTGAGTCTCTGTGTGTTCCTTCAGGCTTACAGCTACACGGCAAATGGCTTTTCACCTTTTGTTTCTTATTTGACTTCCAAAAAAGAATAGTGATCTGTGTGCACCATGTAAAAGTATTTGGTGACAGAAGAGAAGAACTTAATTATGTGCATGTGGCTACAGAATGTCCAGGCTGTAGAAGGCTTTGGGACAAACCACTGTGAGGAGATAAGCAGTTAGCACTAGTCCCCTGGGAATCTTTTGCTGGGGCCCTGCCTGAGCTAAAATTGTTATGCACTGAATGACTCTGGTGGGAGGAGTTAGAGGACTATGAGGTCATGCAAAACTACACCGGTTCTGTTCCACGCTCTACTCCTACACACTATGGGAACTAGACTGAAAATTTAAAAATAATACACACACAGACAGAGACAGACAGACAGACAGACAGACAGACAGGGCCACGGGGACATCCTTGAGACAAGAATGCCCACTTTATTGTACTCAGGGGAAACTTACATAGTGCTCTGGCCATGCCCCAGCTCTCTGGGTCTTTCAGCTGCAGTCTCATCAGAAACCACTCCCCTGCCATCAGGGTCTCGTGCTCAGAGCAGAAACCCTGTCTCAAAAAACAAAAACAAATAAAAGGAACAGTGGGGGTTACAGTTTATTCTCTTTTTCAAATAGTGTTATTTCTGTGTAGAGAGTACAAAAGCAGTGTTTGTGTTTGTTTCTTATTTATTGCTGGGAAGGTGGGTGCCATGATGCTGATTGGAGACCACAGAGCAGTCAAAGAGAGTTGGTGCTCTCCTTCCATGGGAGTCACAGGAATCAACTTAGGTGGCCAGCCTTGACTAGCAAGAGTCCTAACTGCTGAGCCATCTCACCAGCCCTAGATTTATTTGTAAGTAGTTGAGATGTGTAAGTTTAGACTAGAAGACAATGGATATAATGAAAGTTGGAGAAGAAATAAGGTTTAGCTGGATTGGTGTACAGTGGAAAGTTTCAGAGGGTTGTTAGTATCGGCGGCAGCAGCATTCTTGCTTTGTTTTGAGACAAGGTCTCTCTAGCTATCCTTGATGAGCCTGGAGTTTGCTGGGTCGACCATGCTGCCTTGAATTCACAGAGATCTGCTTCCATTCTCCTCAGTACTGGAATTAAAGGCATGCACCACCATGCCCAGCTTTTAAAGGGTTTTGGGTACATTAATGGAGGTAGCTTACATAAGGAAATACTAGTCCACAAAGGTCCCTAGCCTCACACGGACGCCAGGAGACACTGACATGCATATACTTACCTAATCCACAGGTGCGGCAGATGTAGTTTCCCTTTGATCCAAAAAGCTGGCATCCCGCCATGGATAACAGACTTGCAGATACTTGCTGTAGGGCCGTGCTGGTGATAGGAAGGTAACAGTGTGAGGAACAGGTGATGGAGAAGAAGCTGTAGTTATGTGAGATGACTCCGGTCCTGCTTGCGGGTGTGACACACACAGTTTCACATATACGTTCTTTGGCAGAAAACAACATGGACATTCTCAGTCATTTGTCTATTAGCAGCGAGTCCTATCGGTCACCATGAGTTCTGTTTAGCCATTGGCATAGTACCATGTGATATTTGGGTTGTTCTGTCCCTGAATTGCTCTGTGCTTTTCTCTCTCAGGGATTCGATCAGTGAGCTTCTATGAACATATTATCACTGTGGGGACAGGGCAGGGCTCCCTGCTCTTCTATGATATCCGAGCACAGAGATTTCTGGAAGAGAGGCTCTCGCCTTGTTATGGATCGAAGCCCAGACTCGCAGGGGAGAATCTGAAATTAACTACTGGCAAGGGCTGGCTGGTGAGTGAGCTCAGACCTGAGGTCATGGTTGCTTGGCGGGGAGGAGGGGAAATTGTCGTCCCTCTGCTTAGCCTTCCTCCCTCTTTTGCTATTGGCATTCCTTAGAGCAGAGAAGAGCGCCTTCCCCTGGCTCTCCTTTGTGTCTATATATTGGCTCTGGGGGAAAAGAGCCCAGTAGGTCAGTGGTGGTAAATGCTTGTAATCTCAGCACTCCATAAACTGAAGGAAGATTGCAAAACATAAGTGAAAGACAGTAAAATATGCTGGTGCCTTAATATTTTCTTCAAGTGGGGCTGGAGAGATGGCTCAGTGGTTAAGAGCATTGCCTGCTCTTCCAAAGGTCCTGAGTTCAATTCCCGGCAACCACATGGTGGCTCACAACCATCTGTAATGAGGTCTGGTGCCCTCTTCTGGACTGCAGACATACAGACAGAATATTGTATACATAATAAATAAATACTAAAAAAAAAATATTAAAAAAAAAGATTTTCTTCAAGTAACAGCAGCAGGAAGTTATGAAAAGGAACTTCTTGTTGTTGCTGCCAGTGAGTTGTCCCTCACAAGTTAGATTCTGGAAAGCTCTCAGCACAGTTTCCATGAGGACCGGTGTGTGACATCAGGTGGCAGGTATAGAACCCTTTGCTCAGGCAGAGACTAGAAGGTGTTCCTGTTCTTTCTGGCTCTTCCCTGGTGGTGCTAACAGTTTCCTTCTCTTCCCATAGAATCATGATGAAACCTGGAGGAATTACTTTTCGGACATTGATTTCTTCCCCAATGCTGTTTACACCCACTGCTATGACTCGTCCGGAACGAAGCTCTTTGTGGCAGGAGGTCCCCTCCCTTCTGGGCTCCATGGAAACTATGCTGGACTGTGGAGTTAATGACAGCTAACTTTCTCCCAAATGCAGATTTACACTAACTTCCACCCTCAGTTTCATTGTTTGGTCTTTTGATTCCCCTGCTGTGGAAGCCCTCCTGAATAGCGCAGACCCCAGTTTGCCATGGTTCAGCCAATACTAGGAGGAAGCTCTGCAGAAATCCAAAAAGTGGGGTTTTTCTTTGGTTGGTTGGTGGTTTGTTGTTTTGGGTTTTTTGTTAAGTTGTTTGGTAGATTTTTGTTGTTGTTGTTGTTTGGTTTTCCTTTCAGTAATCAGAATTTTACCCCCCTCTCTTTCTGCTTTTTCAACCAAACGTTGTTACAAATCCCTGTTTAATTTTTCATTAAGTGACACATACTCTCCTTTCTCTGGCTTCTTTACACTGAAATGACAAGGTCATTCTCACCTTACTTCATTTGAGAGGTAGGGCCCCTTTATAATTATGTGGTAGCTGTCAGACTTTCTGTGAAAGTTTGGGAGCTGTGTGTGTGTGTGTGTGTGTGAACTTGTGTGCCTGCTGGCGCTGTGCCACTGATCCTACTTGGAGTGTGAACTTGTGTGCCTGCTGGCGCTGTGTCATTGACAGTACTCGGAGTGTGAACTTGTGTGACACCTGACGCTGTGTCATTGACACTACTCGGAGTGTGAACTTGTGTGCCTGCTGGCGCTGTATCACTGATCCTACTTGGAGTGTGAACTTTTGTGCCTGCTGGCGCTGTGTCACTGACACTACTCGGAGTGAGGATTATCTATACTAAAGTATTTATAAAAGAACTTTACTCAGAGTCCAGCTTTGGGACTAGCCTGTATCTTTTGTAATGTCTGACACTGTAGGAAGTGAAAATTTAAAGAAACAAACCCCACCAGGAAAACCCTTGAGTTAGAGTAGCAGGCTTGGGGTGGGAGGGGAGGCTCCATGCCAGGACTTCAGATTGCTCGCCCCTGCCTGTCCTTCCCACTATGTATCCCCAGGTAAGAATGCCCGTGTGTGTGTGTGTATGTTACTTCCTAATCTCTGGTGTCTTAGCCCAGGCCACTTGGCTAAACATTAGGTGCATCTCTGGGACTGCAGAAGGCCTCCTGGTCTAGGGAAAGAGTCTCCTCTCCCCCGTCTCCTCTCTGCTCTGGGTCTGATTTGGCCAAGACCATGGTTACCATTCTTGACATGGCTACCATTCACAGTCTCCTAGGACTTGTAGGAGGAACTGTTCCATTCTTGGGGTTTTTGCTGGTATTTTCCGACGGGCTTTGTCCAGGAAGGAGTGATTGTAGCGAGCGCTGTGTGGATGTCTGTTTTCACAGTGTAGTGGATTAGGAAGTCACCTCCTGCTCCGCTGGCTCGCACCTGCGGTGGCAGGACAGGTGGCTGTGACAGCACAGGTGTGATCAGACTACGCTTGTTCTTCTTTTGAACTTTGAGTCTGAGGCTTTTTAACTGCAGGCAGCTGGGCGTCACCCAGTCCTGAGAAGCGGAGTCGTCGACCTGCATCCAGCTTCTCAGTTGCTCCCAGGTCTTCCCGTTTTCTCTGTGTCATTGGATTGCTGGGGAAGGGAAGCAGCAAGTTCACTTGTTAGTACACAGCATATGCCACAGGTGTTAGCATAATCACCCTATAGTCTAGAGAAATAGGTGCTATGACAGGAAATTAAGCAAAATGCTGGATGCTATGAATCTTTTGTCTTAATTTTTTCTATTGTTAAACTACAGGCTGTAGATTTCTTAGTTCTCACAGAACTTATCATTTTAAACTGACTTGTATATTTAAAAAACAAATCTTGAGTAGGATGCTTTGTGCTAGATTGACCAGACCGTCTGCTGTGATGAGTTTGTTTTGAGATGTTCTGTTTTTAAAATGTAGCATTTGACTTTTGCCAAGAAAAATAAATTCTATCCTAGTGCAGAGCTGTGTGAGTGACTGTGTATGGCAAGGAAGCTTCAGGGAAGAGACCCCAGAGGACTGGTTAGGGTATCTAGAGTGGCTTGCTCCTGTTCCCCAGCTAAGGGGCAACACCACTGTCTCTGGGGACAGCTGAGGATGGCTGTGCCCGGGGGAGGTAGTGTGATGCTGAGAGAAACAAAACACTGACTGGCTGTAGTCAGGGTCAGTGGTGGGGCCCAGAGAATGACAGGAAGTGGCTTCACAGTGGCCTCTTTTGTAGTTGGAACCATGAGTCTTCAGTATTCTTCATAAGGTAGGACACAGTGGCCACAGTGAAAGATGGTCTTCCCGTGTGGGCGGTGGTGACTCATACCTTTAATCCTGGCGGGGAGGGGTGCAGAAGCAGGTGGATCTCTGTGAGTTCAAGGCCAACCTGGTCTACAAGAGCTAGTTCTGGGGGACAACAGGCTCCACAGCTACAGAGAATCCTGTCTCGAAAAACAAAAAAAAAAAAAAAAAAAAAAAAAAGATGGTCTTCCTAAAGCTGAGGGTGGGGGAGATGCTCAGCCATACCAGTCCAGTCGTGCAGCTAACTCTGGAACACCCAGCGGCGCTCAGGGCACTGACCCTAAAAAGTAGTTCCCAGTCTTCTGCCACATGGCACTTAATCGCTCTCCAGGGCAAACAAGCTATAGCTGTGTCTGCGCTGGCTCTGTAGGCTAATTCAGACCAGACTCGCACTGGGATCTCAATGGCCAAAGATCACACGATGGAAAAGGATATGAGGGTTAGTTGGGCGCTCCTGGAAAAGAGTGACATGTGGACAGGCCGAGAACTAGCCTCTCCTAAGCTGAATGTGAGTACAAGATTCTGAACAGCAGTGTTTGAGTAATAAAACAGGCACTGGGGTGGGGAGATAGCTCTGTGGTTAAGAGAACTCGTTGCTCTTGCAGAGGACCTGAATTTGGTTCTCATGGTGGTTCACAGGCATCCGTAACTCTTGTTCCCGAACTCTGAGGGCAGCAAGCATTCACATTCGTATACACATATATGCAGGTAAAACACTCATTCACATAAAAAGAAAAACAGTCACTGATGGGCTGGAGAGACCACTCAGCAGTTAAGAGCTCTGGCTGCTCTCAGTTCCTAGAACCCTCCTGACTGCTCCCAACTGTCTTATCTCCAGTACCAGGGGAACACGATGCCCTCTTCTGGCCTCTTCTGTGCATTGCAGATGTGCAGTGCACAGACATACATGCACAGGCAGGCAAAGCACACATACAGATAAAAATAAGTACAAAAAAAATTTTTTTAAGGGCTAGAAATGGCTCGGCTCAGCAGTTAAGAGCACTGCCTGCTCCTCCAGAGGACACGAGTTTAATTCCCAGCACCCACATGGCAGCTTAAAACTGTCAGTAACTCCAGTTCCAGGGGTTCCAACACCCTCACACAGACATATATGCAGGCAAAACAACAATGCATATAAAAAAGTCTTTAAAAAAAAATCACTGATTTTATGAGATGTACTTGGCATTGAGCTCACTTGTCTAGTCAAGGATGACCTTGACATCTGAGCTTCCTCCTAGCTCCTGGGATTACACCCAGGATTGCACCACTGCGCCCACCTGTCACCTTACTCCTGAGGTTTTGATGTCACTGTAGGACTCAGTTCTATGGAACATGCTCAAAGGAAGGGGACTTAGCAGATATGCGTGGACTTGCCTTGGCCCTCTGGCCTCTCTGGAGTCTTGGCCCTATTCCCATTTTCCAGTGAGGCTTTGTAGCTAAATACATAGCACAGAAGGGCTCTGTGGACTTCCTGGTGTCCCTACCTGCCAGCAGCTCCTGCCAGCCATGAAAGAATTTTCTTGTTCATTTTCAGTCACTGCTGCCTGCCACGTTCCTCCCATCATTCCTTGGGTCCTTGGCTGAAGAGAATCTCTAGTCCATCAACCTTCATCAGTTGTTCCCATTCCCCTAGCAGTCTTACTTGAGGGGACTGAGGCCCTGTCTGGCCTGTCATTCACTGAAGAGCTCAGACTGGCTTTGAAGTCACCTACCTGAGGCCCCTCAGTGCTGGGTTTACAGGCATGAACGGCCACACCTGACCAGCTAAGAATTTTTAGACGGTAATAGTGCTACTGAGCTCAGCTCAGGTTTCCCATGCTGCTTATTAACTGTACCTAGATCCCTAACATCTTAGTGCTGTGGGCTGGAAGACAACGAAGCTGCCACTGCTGCCTTCTATAAACCCCCTCACTCCTGACTACCTTTTCTTAACGAGTAACAACCCACTCAGAGATGTTAGTAATTGGAAATATTGTTAATAGTTGGAAATAATGAAATGTCTGTTTTCTGAGGGTTAAGATTTAGATCCCAGGCTGGGCGGTGGTGGCACATACTTTTAATCCCAGCACTCGGGAGGCAGAGGCAGGAGGATCTCTGCGGTTCGAGAGCAGCCTGGTCTACATAGGAGTGAATTCCAGGACACCTGGGACTACTTAGAAAATCCCTGTCTTGAAACAACAAACAAAAAAACAAAAACAAAAAAATGTAGACCCTAAGTGTCCCCCAAGGTTCATGAGGAAGGAAACTAGATCGTGGAGCTGTGCACTAGAAGATACAGGAACATACCCTCTTTTTCCTTTCTACTCAAATCTTTTCTCTCCAGCTGTCTTTTCTGCCACACAATCCCAGCTATGATGGTCAGCTTTGCCATAGGCCCTGAAACAATGGATCCAGCTGCCTCTGGAGTAACTTCAAGAAAAAAGGATGCAAGCAGGGCGGTGGTGGCACACGCCTTTAATCCCAGCACTTGGGAGGCAGAGGCAGGCGGATCTCTGTGAGTTCGAGACCAGCCTGGTCTATAAGAGCTAGTTCCTGGACAGGCTCCAAAACCACAGAGAAACCCTGTCTCGAAAAACAAAAAGAAAAAAAAAAAAAGAAAAAAGGATGCCTGAAAGCCTCAGGGAAGAAAATGAAATAAACAAGCCAGGTTTCGTGTAACTGTAGTACCTGAGAGATGAGAGCAGAAGGATCAGGAATTTGAGGGAAGTCTCAGCTACATAGTTCAAAGCTAGCCTAAGCTCCACAATACCTTGTCTCCCAAAACAACAAAAATAACAATACCAAAAGGCTGGACATGGAAGCACCTGGCTTTAATCCTAGCATCCAGGAGCAGAAGTAGATATAGGCCAGCCAGAGCTACACAGTGAGATTCAATCAAAAACATAAAGCAAAAGGTCTCAGACCTCATAAATGGTTTATCTCAGCTATTTTGTGGTGAGGGTATTTGCCAATAGCACAGCTGATTGCCTTGGTGAGATTTGAGTCCCGGTAAACATCTTTTTTTTTTTTTTTTTTTTTTTTTTGGTTTTTCGAGACAGGGTTTCTCTTTCTCTGTGGCTTTGGAGCCTGTCCTGGAACTAGCTCTGTAGACCAGGCTGGTCTCAAACTCACAGAAACTCACAGAGATCCACCTGCCTCTGCCTCCCGAGTGCTGGGATTAAAGGCGTGCGCCACCATCGCCCAGTCCCGGTAAACATCTTCAAAATAGCCTGTTTATCCTATAGTCTGTTACACTAAGAATACAAAAGTTATTACTGTAAAAGTTGTTAGTGTAGTTCCATCACTAGATTTTGCTTTTTTGAGACTCATAGCCATGGCTAGCCTTAAACTAACTCCTCCTGCCTCCATAATCCAATGGCTTGGGTACTAACATGGATTCTTGAGAAAGGACATCCACCCCTAGGTGCCATCTGCCAGCTGCACAGCTGCTTATGGCAAAAGGAGCCCCTTCACTGGTTGGCACCTTTCTTTTTTTGCTGGTGCAGATGTGTGTGTGTATTGTAGTATAATGTGTCAGTGAGTGTACAAGTGTTCTACATTTATGGGTGCACATATGCAGGTGTGCAAGTACATGTGTGGGTATGCGTGGAGGCCTGAGCTTCATGTCAGAAGCTGACCACTAAATGTGTCTTTTCACCTTATGTAATAAGACATTCAGACAGCCGGGCAGTGGTGGCGCACGCCTTTAATCCCAGCACTCCGGGAGGCAGAGGCAGGCGGATCTCTGTGAGTTCGAGACCAGCCTGGTCTACTAGTGCTAGGACAGGCTCCAAAGCTACAGAGAAACCCTGTCTCGAAAAGCTAAAAAAAAAAAAAAAAAAAGACATTCAGACTAGTCCTCTGCTTCAGTGGTACTTTGAGCACTAGTTTAGAGGTATGCCCATGGGTTGTTAAATGTTTATGTGCTAGTTTTGATATGTGTGTATGTTGGAGGGGGTGGAATCTCATGTAGTTTAGGCTGGCCTTGAACTCCCAATTCTGCTGCTGCCTTAGCCTTTCCAGGTACTGGGATTACAGGCATGTACTACCATTTTTGGCTTTAGAGTCTGTTACATTGTTGTTGTGTGTGCATGTATCCATACAGTGGCCCAGGGATGGACATCAGAGGACAGCGTATGGGAGTCTGTTCGCTGCTTCCACTGTAGGTTCTGACTGCAGGAGACTGACCTCGGGTGACCAGGCTCTTGTAGCTAGTGCCTTTCCCCACTGAGCCACCTTGAGGATTCCAGAGTTTGAGTTTATTTGTTCTTCTCTTATACATTCCATCCCGACTGCAGTTTCCCCTCACTCCACTCCTCCCAGTCAAATCTTCTTTTTCTGCTGATAGCCAGTAATATGTTAGAAATGGTAGTGGAGCCTGGTGGAGGTGCCCGTCTGTAATCCCAGCACTCAGGAGGCAGAGACAGGCGGATCTCTTTGAGTTGGAGGCTAGTCTGGTCTACAAGAACTAGTTTCAGGACAGGCTCCAAAGCTACAGAGAAACCTTGTTTTGAAAACCCAAAAAAAGAAAAAGAAGAAATGTGAGTGGAGAAAAACAGGGAGTTGAGGTGGGCATGTTTCTTCGAACCACGACAACTGGGTTCAACCTTCAGTACAAGAACAAGAAAACTGGGTATAGTAGCACATACTTAGAATTCCGGCACTGGGGAGGGTGAGGCAGGATAGTGATCAGAAG